TTTAATCTGGTGTTGTAAGAACAAATCTCTTGAGAGTTTTAGACAGGGTCTTACTAAATTTTCAGGTAATCCCAAACTTGCTATATCCCCACCTCAGTCTCCCAAGTGTTAGAATTATAGGCCTGCAAACCACCATAGCCATTCTTTAAAAATTACTTTTCTAGAAGTGAAAAGATACAACTTAAAAAAAGACTTTTTTTTATAGTTTATTTTATGTACATTGGTGTGAAGGTGTCAGATCCCCTGCTGGACTCACAGATAGCTGTGAGCTGCTATGTGGACGCTGGGAACCCCAGTTCCAATGCTCTTAACCACCAAGCCATCTCTTCAGCCACTCCCCAAAGATTTATTTTTATGTGTATGTCTCTTTTGCCTGCATGTATGTGTGTGTGTACCGCATGCAAGCAGTCCCCAGAAGAGTGTGTTAGATCCCCTGGAACTGGAGTCATAGATGGTTGTGAGTTGCCACGTGTGTGTTGGGAATCAAACTTGAGTCCTCCAGGCAGAGTATCAAATATAAACTGCTGCGCCATCTCTCCAGCCCCCTAAAGATATTACCTTAAAGGGTGTTACAGTTTGAATGTAAACTGTTCCCCAGAGGCCCAAGGGTTTCAACACTTGTATGGAGAAAGTGGGTTTCTGGTGAGAGGCCTTATGGGGATGGTTCAGCTCCTTTTTAGCCACACTACCCTGCTGCCTTCCTGTTCCACAAAGGTGTGAGGAAGCCCTGCGACAAACTCTCACTGCCAGGGACAGTAACTGGTCCCATTGCCATGCCTCTTTTACCAGCAACTGGGAGCCAAAAGAAACATGCCCTCCTTCACATCGCTTTTTTTTCAGGTATTTGGTAAAAGGATGAGAAAAGTAACTGACACAGAGGGCATCACCAAGTGTCATAGGTAAGCCAGATTAGTAAACTCACTTATTTAAAAACAAAAACATTTAAAGACTTGGGTGTTTCTGAAGTTCTGCATGATTTCTTTAAATATCACCCCCCCCTTAGGAATTGAAGCATATTAATCATGACATTATACATACAAGATTGATGATTTAAATGCTACTGGTAAAGTTGATAAGGAAAACTTCACCTTTTTTGTTTATCACAATAAAAAATAAACAAACCCAGAACCATACAAAGTCCGTTTGTTCCTTTGAATAATTTTTCCCTTCCCAGTTAAGACAGGATGGGAGGAAGAGTTCAAGGCTAGGAAGGAAAGTTGGTGACAGCACCTCCATTTCATGACAACTTTGTCTTTGCTATTTCTCTTTGTCTTCACACACACAAACCACACATCTGCCACCACCTCTGCCAAGCCTTGATGTTCTTTATAAGGTGCTCCGACCCCTTTAAATTAAAAAAAAACAAAAAAGGAAGTTAAGTCTATGTAGTCGTGGTGGTAGGCATGCCACAGTGAGCATGAAGACATCAGACAGCAACTTCAAGGAGTCAATTCTTTGGGTGATCAAATGTAGGTCACCAGGCTTGTATGATCAGCTCAGAGACAGGATTTCTCTGTGGCTTTGGAGGCTGTCCTGGAACTCACTCTGTAGACCAGGCTGGCCTCGAACTCAGAGATCCACCTGCCTCTGCCTCCCGAGTGCTGGCATTAAAGGCTTACGCCACCAACGCCCAGCCATTGACAATGTTTTACCCTGAAGCCCAGGCTGGCCTTGACTTGTAAAGGTAACCCGTCTGTCATCTGAACATTCTGAGATGTTTCTCGCTCCCATGTGAGACGATCATTTCCAGACACTGGGTCCTTCTGATCTTGTCAACCTTGACTTGGTCTGCTGCTGCCTCCCTTCTACCACTGACTCACCTCAGTGTAGGTTCCCATTATCTCTTGTTGGTGCTTGTCTGTATGACTTTATTCACAGTTCCCTTCCTCTCAGCCCATTCTTTATGCTACCAAGAGGGCTAGCTGCTTTGAAACCTGCTGATTAATTTCTTTTACTGACTCCCAGGTGAGTTCAGACTTGCATGCTTGCCTATCTGGGATAGCTGTGTCATCCTCTCTCTGTCCTTCCATTTAACATCTTCAGTCCTACTTTTTGCTGTGTGGTGTGGGGTGTGGGGTGTGTGGTGTGTGGGGTGTGTGTGTGTGTGTGTGTGTGTGTGTGTGTGTGTGTGTGTAAGCCATAGGTTAATATCAGGAGTCTTATTAATTTGCTTCTCCACTTAATTTTTGAGACTGGGCCTCCCACTGAACCTGGAACTCTATTGGTTTTGCTCATATGATTGGCCAGCAAGTTTCAAGGGTCCTCCTGTCTCTACCTGTTCTGGAGTTACAGGTGCGTACCACAACCAGCTGGGTGCTAGGTATCTGAACTCAGGTCCCCATGCTTATACGGTAAGCATTTTTATCATCTCCCCAGCTCCATAACTTAATCTTTTGAGATGGGGTTTCATTATGTTACATAGATTGGTATGCTGGCTCAACAATACTGCTGTACCTTCCTGAGTGCTGACATTACAGATGTAAGTCACTATGCCAAATTCTGAATCCAGCCTTAATGTTTTCACTCTCCTTGCAAAGGCTCATGTTCTGGTACCCAGGGCTGTGTGAAAATGGCAGCTTTGCAAAGAGGACCAGTGATCCTCTTAATTAATTACTACTTATATCCTAGGACAGTCATGGAGGAGAATTGTTCAATTCATTCAGACTGAAGCAGGTATCCCTCCCATGACTTCTCCCACATTTATAATATGCACTATAATTTCAAGTCTTATTGTGAGAGTAGGGCTTGTTTTTTGGATTTATTTTATGTGTATAGGTGTCAGTCTGCATGCATGTCTATGCACTGCCCTGGAGACCAGAAGAGGATTCAGATCCACTGGGACTAGAGTTACTGATGGTTGTGAACTGTCATGTGGGTTCTGGTAATTGACCCTGGGTCTTCTGCAAGACAGCCAGTGCTCTTAATTGACCAGCCATCTTTCCAGCCACATAAGGGCTGTTTTTAATCTCCAGTATGTTTATCATACATTAACATCTTTTCCTCTCCCTTAAGAAATATTTTATTTGTACGACTGCTTTAGCTACATGTATGTATGTGTACCATAGGCACAACTGATGCCTACAGAGACTAGAAGAAGGTATCAGACTCCCTAGACTAAGGGTTATGGATAGTTGAGAAACACCATATGAAAGCTATAAAACAAATCCAGGTCCTCTGAGAAAATAGCAAGTGCTTGTAACCTTAAAGTCATCTCTCTAACTCCCCTTTCTTACAATTTCTAAAATTTTTATTTTAAATATTTTGGTTTTTCAAGACAAGGTTTCTCTGTGTAGCCCTGGCTGTCCTGGAAGTCAGCGATCAGCTTGCCTCTGCCTCCCAAGTGCTGGGATTAAAGGCATGTGCCACCACCACCCAGCTCTAAACATTTTGTTATCTCTCAGTGAAGAACCTGCTATGAGCCACTCATACTTACTCCTGTATGTGTAATCCCAATGAACTCATTGGTTTACCAAGCTGCACTTGGCAGTCACTTCTTTGGTCAGCTGGTGTCCTGTCAGTGCAAACAGACATGCCCATGTGACCCCCTAGGAAAATCACATACCGCTGCAAGTCCTCTCCTTCTGGAGGAGAAGTTGTAGCATACTTTTTGGTATCTCTCAGTTCATCTTGTCAATTCTGAAAAATAAATCACACGAATAAAATGAATGTAGAATTTGGCCTTTAAAAAGCATTATAGAACAAAAAGAAGATTAATCACTAGCTGAAGGTAGCTCCTTGCAGAAAAGAGTATAAACTGGGGAGACAGATCAAATAAGTCACCACATTTCCTCTAAGGACATGAAATTATCTTAAATACCCCACAGTAGATTCTATAGAGAACTGTAGTATTGCTCCTGTAATACTGCATACCAGACTAGAGTCAAAAGGAAAAAAAGATACCTCAAATCTATGATTCCTAAAATATCACTTAAGATGACAACAGCACCTATGGGAGCAAGCTGCATTTTTTTCTTCCAGCAGAAATTCTCCTGGCACCTGGCTGGGTAAAAGCACACCTCTTGAACATGCTTTCCCTATAGACTGGTACAGGATTCCACTGCATGACAGATAGCCAACACACTGAATCCATCTGGAAACAGATAAAATGTGTTGTCCTCCCTAAACACATACTGCCTTTTAAGCAAGTGATCTAGCTGTTACGGTAGTAGAAACGAGCAATACCAGCTACTCTGGAGGCAGAAGTAGGGCAACAAAGAAAGACACCAGAGGAGGAAGACGAAAATTCCTCAAACATAAGGATCTGACCAAAAAGATGACTTAACAATTCAAAGGTCACCAAAACAATAGGTGACCAAAAGGAGTTGAGTACCAGTGGCTTTGGGCAGCATCTAACCACTTGAACTTGTTCTTGGCTACTCTAACCATTGAGCAGACTTTATTTACGTTTATGAGTTTTCCTTGCCACAAGCAAACTCAAAAGCTATAGTTCAAAGCAAAGTATAAAATGTATGACTAGGATCCCATCCATCACTTACTGGCTATGTGCTTGAAGAAAGGTATTTAAATGTTCTGAATTTCTACTTCTTCACTTATAAAAGAGAGAGACCATGTATTTGTAAGATAGCTGGGAAAACTGTCAACCGTACAAACAACACGTAACATGGTGTTCAGCATATTGTAAGCAGCTAGAAAGTGGCAGCTATAATTTTAACTGCAACTGATATTCTGTATCACACTGTTATACAAGTCACATTAGAGCATGTGCTGACTCTATGGCAAAGTCTCTATGATATCATATTAGCAATAACAGTTTCTGGAGAACTGTTACACTTACAGGGCTGGAGAGATGGCTCAGCAGTTAAGAGCACTGGCTGCTCTTCCAGAGGACTCCAGTGGGTGCTGGGTTCAATTCCCAGCACCCACATGGTAGCTCACAAACACCTGTAACTCCAGTTCCAGGGAATCTAACACCCTCACACACACAAACATACAGGAAAAACACCAATGTACACAAAATAAATAAATCTTAAAAAAAACACTTAATGTCATTAATATGATCTTTAATAAATGGAATAATGCACCATTTTACAGCAAGCCTTTTTAAACCTAAAGAACTGCCTTAAAACTTCCTTTGCCAATGTCTCTGTCTCAATACAATCTTTGTATTTAGGTTTATATATATCAAAGCATTTACTTACACTTATTCATAGAAAACTCTTTAGTGGCTTAATGTCAGCGTTCATAGTGGCATCCATAGATAATACAAAAGAAAGTGATCTGCTTTATTTCATACTCACACTGCTCCATCAAACACAACTTATACAGCATAGCAAGGTCTCAGATGGCTTATACAAAAGCAAGTAACTGAAAGTAATTACTCATAAATTCACACACGATATTCTATCTGTAATGTAAGAACAGAATACACCAACAAAAGATACCCGTTAACAAGAAAGAGGGTTCTGAGGAAGAGCCAATATTGTCAGCCTTTCTTTTTCTAAAAAGCATCCTCAGAAATGAATACTTGGTAGCTAATGTTTTTCTTGTCCGTTCAGAAAAAACATGGCAGCTACACATCTCCATGTTTCAGCTATAACACCCTAAGAGTTAATGTATTTTACAGTTATCCATGTAAGCTCACTTGAAAAATTAGCAACAGAAAATTCAGGATGATTCCAGCTTACACAAACACTTATACAATACAATTTCTATAGAAATGAAGACATGACATACAACATCCCTTAAATAAATAAATGTTACCATGAAAGAAAAAAAAGCCACATAAGTCAAGCAACTCAATATTAAATTGAAACCTAATTGCTTTGAATTGCATGTTTTAGTCATTAGTTTTCTTACTCTTATACATCTTTACAAATGTTTCCTTTATATACTTAAGACTGATACCAAGATAGGGAGCCTGAGACAAGACTGATTACAAATAATTCCACTGCTAAGATTTAAATATACAGCAGACCAATTAGAGCTTAAGTTTATCTGACTTAAAGAAAAATTGTTTGGCTCTGACAGTGTGAAAAACTGCTTACTATAGATCACCTTCTCAAAGCCATCAAGCCATTACTAAAGCTACAGTCATCAGCTCACTTTTAGAAGTTTTATAATGCTAATTATCTCTTAAGAAAATTCTATCGCAGAATTACTTTTCCTAAGCTCTGTTATTAGAAAAACAAAACAAAATGAAACATTTGTTCCATCCAGTATAACCACAGAACCAAGAACAGAACATGTTTAAGCTGGCATTTTAACTCCAAGGCTTAAATCTGCTGTGACATGTGGCCAATTAGTTGAGTCATTCCTAATATTCAGTAATTACAGAACTGGGCAAGTTTTTATGATTAATGAAATCAAATATCATGTTGATGTGAATTAAGTCAAATAATATGATAACACATTACTATGCAACAAACACTTTAAATATCTGACTAGATCTAATTGCTTGTTTGCTACCAACTGAATGTTTTCAGTGTACAAACAGATGAAAGGCACCCTGAGTTTTTAAGTAATACTATGTCTAAAAGTGATTCTAAACCATGAAGATGTTTCTGAAATTTAAAATACAAATAAAACAGGGGGAACCTTTTAAAAAGAAAAAAACAGTCAAGTTGCAATTTCAAGTACAGTCAATTTTCATTAAAATTCAGTTACACACTGGACATCCTAATGAAGCACTTTAGTTCTAAAGATTCTTTCTGCTCTAGATTTGAATGTGGGCTGCAAACCAAGTTTTACAAATGAATGTGTGTGTTTACAATGTTCAGTAGAAACACCTCAAACATCATAGCAATAATAAAATTGGAATTAAAAAAATTCAATAGATTTATTTGGGGCATAATTTTAACATATAGTATAGCCTCTCAAATGTTTACTTTCAAATCTATTTGCCATGAGATAAATTTTAAAGATCTACTCTCTACACAAACACCCAACTTTAACCACTTAAAACTTAAATGAAAATTGTTCTAGTCCATCCACTCTATGCTGCAAAAACAACGGTAAGCATTTCAAAAGTGGTCTACAGAGATACAAAAATATCCATGGGTAATACCTGATATCTGTAGGGTCTGCTTTTGATAGTTAATTTTGCATTTTGTGTTTAATATAGTATTTGATATGAAGAAAAACGTACAGTATTTGTTGTGGCTCAATCGTAATACTAAAACGCACTGTGACATAGGTGAGAGTTTAATGAAAATGAAACACAATTATGTATGCATGGCTTTTCAGTTCTATCTGTGTGGATATAAAATCATAAAATACATTTTAATAGAAAATGTAGATAATACAAAAATTAAGTGCTGATTTTTGGGTGGTCTGATGATTAAATCCAATGTCAAAAGGTAACATCTTTACTCTGAGTTCTATCAAACTACTGTGCTATAAATTAACTGGAGCAATTAATTTGAATATAACATAGAATTTTATGTGCTCTTAAATATAAATACAGTTATTAAAATAGATTTGAGGAGAAACAGACCTAAAGGAACTGGAAAAATTTATCTGATGAAGTGTTGATTGAGAATCCTGAAGCCAACTGAAGAGCACTGCAGAGAAGGACGAAGGACCAGCTATTCCCTTTTCCCTACTAGGTATGACAGACACTCCCAAAGCAAACAAGAGGGATAGAATAGGTATGAAAAAAAGCCGTAAGTCAGACAGTGGAGGGACAGTCAGCATAAACCATGAGGGGTTTAAAGAGAGGAACAGCAGGTGTTCCACCTCTGTGGGCACACAGGGTGCTCTTGTGCTTCTGAGGACACCTGTAGAAGCCTCTTTTTGCTGGGAATCTGTGTGATAGCTCAGGAAGTAGACAGCTAGACAGACATTATCAATGAGCATAGTTAGGAAGGGATCGTGTAAGGTAATTTTGGGCAAAGTTTGCATAGTTCATAACCTAAAAAAAAAAAAATTTAAAATGCAATTTTGTCTTCTGGAAAACAAAAGCCACCACAACCCACTGCTAGTCAAGGGTGTGAATATTGAAAATTATCATATCCTAAGAGAGACCTGGGGTCTGTGAGGGAGGGTTACACACTTCCTAGATTCCCTTAACTGGCTTGCCGTCTTTCCAGCCCCACAACTGGTATCTTCTTAAGGGACCTGACACTACACTCTGATGTCCTATTAGGATGCTTTTTATAATACCATCCAGGGAAATATTTTTAAACTGAATGACTTTATTCAAAAGGCCCAAAATTAATTTTTTATGTGAAATGTTTTGGTAAATTTCAGTTTCAGCTTCAAGAGTCAGATAAATAAAGCTAAAAAGTAATATATAAGTTATTAAAGGATTTTTGTGTACTGTGTATAATAGATTTCCAAATTTATTAAAATGACTTATACTTCTACCTTTCCTATTTTCCAAATAGTTACCATATATCAGTGAAAGGAATTATTTGTTTTAAACATATTTGCATGAGATGGGAAACTATACTTTCTTTTAATCTCGCATATTAATTTTTAAAGGATTTTATAAATGTACTAACCATTAAAGACTGTTGAAAAAAATTCATAATTGACTGGTCCTAATTCAAATTCTTCAGAACGAAAGACAACTTTGGGACAGGAAAAGATCAGTTGGACCTCAAAGGGCCATTTATTCTCAATGCTTCAAATTGGAGATGGAAGGAATATAATTATTTTTGATTTAAAGTTGCCCCACAACTGAAAACACAAAAAATCCTGAAATGTATCTGAAAGCCATTTGGACAAGAGAAATAAGTGAAAGACACAAGTTGTTACATAGATAAGAATAGTGACTATCTGAAAGAAACTGTATGTTAGAAGACAAAAATATATACTAAGAATCTGAGTACGAAGCCAGCCTGGTCTACAGAGCAAGTTCCAGGACAGTCAGGGCTACACAGAGAAACCCTGTCTCAAAGCACCTCCCAACACACACACACACACACACACACACACACACGCACACACACACACACCGAAAAACAAAACAAAACAAAAAAACCAACCAACCAACCAAAATAACCCCAAACCTGAACCACAAGAAGGCCAGCCAATAAATCACAAAACAGAGAAAGGGACCCTGGGCACAAATACAATAATTGTAATTCTAAGGACTGAGAACTTATCCAGCTGAATAAATGTTTTAAATATTGTCACATCAAAGAAGCACAGCAGATGACAACTCAAAGGCTTACACAAGTGAGTCACAAGCGCTGTGGACAGTGTACTGGGAAAAGTGGGCTGTTCTCATTTAAATGGCAAGGGCAGAGGATTATCAATGAAAAGTGGTGTTCAGGACATGAGAACCAAAATCAGAAATTTGGAGATTTGTACTGAACTTTTTTTAAATCTCCCCTGCAAAAATTTAAAACTTAATCAGATAATGGATATTAAGGATTCTGAGAATCTGAAAACATGAGAACAATTTGTTTTCAAATTGGCAGCAAACAATGTTTAGGGGAAATTCCCATATTTGACAGAAAGTGCTTTATTAAAAGACACAGTGCCTGTTTTAGAGATCATTAGTGACAAAAGAAGCAAAGGGAGTGTGACAGTGACTTCACTGGTATGTTATCACTAGAAGGCATGCTCTCCTACAACATAAATAATAAGTCCTGCTCAAAGGAGATCGTGTGAAACTGGTAAAAGGGGAAATTATGAAAATAGGATTAGCAAGGAAAGTTATCGAAAGACAGAGAGTAAATCTTAGTCTGTTTAATAGTCTTAAATTTGGCAGCAGGCCCTTCTTCCATGGGATTGGGCATGCTGGTTGACTGAGCTTTCCACACAGTGTTTTAGGTCATGGGAAAAGGAATTGTTTTCACATAAAGCTGACAGGCTTTGCTGGGAAACAATAAAAGATACTATAAATTCAAAACTATGAGTTTTTCTGAAGTTATTATAAATAGGAAATGTAATTTAACTTGTGATGATCAGAAAATCAAAGTTCCTACACTACATCACATTGCCCATCTACTTACTTAAAAATTCCATGTAAGTTTAGCTTTATAAATTTTCTGATAAAAAGTATTTCTTAAATAAATGAATACAGAACATGAACATACATAGAAAAATAAAATGGAAAAGGTTAATATTTGCTTTCTTTTGTTTTGTTCTATGCTCTCTTATGAACTTCCAAAATCAGAATCAAATATGCTTATTAAAATGCCTGGAAGGATACACTTAGTATTTGGAAGGTTAAAAGACAATGGCATTTCAAAAAAGGTTTTGGTAAGTCCTTTTTGGAGCCCTTTGGACAGTGTCTATGCATTCTCCCTAAGGAAAAAGCAAGAAAATGTTCATATTACTGAAGAATGGGGGAAGTGTTTCACCAGTGGAAGAATGTGTGCCCCGATAGAAGAGAGCTGACAAGAGAGCTTCTTTGTGGTCTAAAGACTATTGCACATTCAAATAAAATACAGGAAAGAAGAATGTCCAACAGATAATATGTTCAAAAACATATCAACATATAAACTAGCTTGTGCCCAGAAATAAAACATGGATACCAGACACCACTGCAGTTGAACCTGCCTTAATTTGCTTCTGTTTTAATGACCTTTAGAAAATGGTCCAAACTGATTATCAGCAATACATTGTTTTTGCTTTTTTCTTAAAAAAATATTTTGAGACCACTTTTGATATGCACACATATGATGTGGTCATAACAGACAAATATAACTTTAGCAAGACTAAACAAAAGTGCAAAACTTAAAAAACAAAATTAAAAAATATGGAAGCATAAGCTAAAATTTTCTGCATAGCTGAAATCTATTTAAAGCAAGTCCTTGTTGCAGGGGTGGGAAGGGGTGCTGACAGGAGGTTAAAGCAGTTTTTGTTTTTTTTTTAATGTCTTCTGCATGTTTAAACGATGCAAAAAAAATAATTTCACTTCATAGGCTTGGAAACATCTCACAGACAATTCATCCCTATATCTTTAGACACCATGGTTGTGGCAGTGCCTCCTTCTGCAAGGTACACAGCAGTGCTAGACTTAGAATGAACTGCTTTGTCCCTCCCATTGTTGTTGACCTCACAGTCCAGTGGTTCAGTGGAGATGACCCAGGTGGAGGGGCGCCACCGCTTAAGAGAATATGGAGTTTTCACACGTCTCTTGATCTTTTCACCTGATCCGGATTTGCCATCTTGTGTTGATTCACCTACTGAAAATAAAAGTACAAGAAATGAGCTGTATGAAAGGACAATACTTAGAAGTAAAGAGGTGTCTGGATATGTAATGCAGTTGACAGAGTCCTTGCCTGGTGTGCACAAAGCCCTGAGCTCAATTCCAGTACCACATAAACCCTGGTGGTTGTGAGTATCTGCAATCCTAGCAGTTTGGAAGTAGAAGCAGGAGGATCAGAAGTTCAAGACCAACCTAGACTCCACAGTCACTACACAGGCCAGCCTGAGCTATATAAGACAAGCCCCACCCCCACCCCAAGACAGGGTTTCTCTGTGTAGCTTTGTAGACCAGGCTGGCCTTGAACTTACAGAGATCTGCCTGCCTCTGCCTCCCAAGTGCTGGGATTGAAGGTATGCGTTACCACCATCCAGAAACGTAATATTTTTAAGAGGGATGAACATTTCCCCATAATTCTCTGTTCTCATATCTGAAAAGATGCTTTATGCTGGCAGAAGCAAGCAAGGTATGTCAACTAGCTTGTAATATAAACCACTCAAATAAAGGGCTAGGTTTTCTTTCTTTCTTTTTTTTTCCTTTTCTTTTCAAAACAGTCACTCTGTAGACCAGGCTGACCTCATCAAACTCAGAGATCTTCTGCCTCTGCCTCTGCCTCCTGAGTGTTGGGATTAAAGGTGTGTGCCACCACCACCACCACCACCACCACCACCACCACCACCACCACCACCACCACCACCACCACCACCACCACCACCACCACCACCCCCACCCCCGGCTTAGATTTTCTTTTCTTTGTGGTGCTGGAGACTTAAACCTGAGCCTTGTGTATAGTAGGCTAGTATTTTACCTCTGACTACATGTACAGCCAAGGGGCTAGATATTTACTGTTTTGAGACCTTGTTTCAGCCCATTCTGTAGTTTAAGAAAGCATAAAACATGACTTGTTTTTCTTTCATAAATACAAACAAAAGGAGAAACCATTTTATTTAATAATGACTGTTCAGAGATTCTGGTGAGCTCTCCTGTCATGGCTGTAATTCCGTTAAGGTAGGACACCAAGTGGCAGCTGACCTATCTAGGTTCCACCCCACAGCACGGCTCTGTTTAATATATGAGACTCAATAAAAAGATGACTTTCTGAAACTTCTCTTGACTTCTATGACTTACTGAGAGCTGGGTATGGTGACACATGCCTTTAATCCCAGCACACCATACTTGCTATACAGATCAGACTATCCTGGTCTATATAGCAAGTTCCAGGGCATCCAGGACTACATATAGAGACCTTGTCTCAAACAAACGAACAAACACAAAATACATATAAAGACTAAATGTAGATTTAACATATTAATATGTTTCAGAAATAAAAGTGGCATAATGTTGCTACTTGGTGCTCTGATACTAATAAGTACTGATTTAATCTCACTTGTCATAAAAGTATATGAACCACATCATAAAAAAGCCATCAAGTAAAACATAGACTAAGTTGGTAATTTTTCTGACTATTGTGATACTAGCTTTTTAATTATCAATGACCAAGGGGGGAAGGAAGAAAGAAAGGAAAAGAAAGGCCCACTTCCCCCACTTTGCAATAACACAATTACTTATGAGGCCCAGTCACTTTGTCTCTGGAAGTGCGAAAGGTAAAGAATCCTAAAGGACACTCCATGATCCCTCCACTTACTCTGTATACTGCTGCCATCCAGGATATTTGTGGCTGAAAGATCCAGAGAATTGGGCCTCTGTGCTCTTCTGGGCTTTGTTGGCCCAGGATCTGCAACTGTGCTTGTAACACCCTGTGTAAGTACATCTTGTTCTGAACATGGATTGCTGTTATTGTTATTGGAATTAGTTCGACCACCTTCTAGAGGCCGTTCCCTCCTGTCTACCAAACGATCCAGAACCCCTTCATCATGGCCAGCTTGTTGCTCTCGTCTCAGTAAAGGTTCATGCTCATCAGGACTGGAATTGATATTCAGTCGGGTATCCTCACCAATAAATTGGTTTTGCAGCATGTCTTGAGCCCTATGTGACACTAGGTTAGCTGCCTGACCAGATGGCACTGCCCCATTGGCATACTGGGTTGTGGCAGCATGGGGATTAACATTGTGGCTTCTACCTGCCACACCGTTCATAGTTACTGTCACTACATGAGGTTCTGCTGCATTGATTGTATTCATCTTGGCAACTCCAGTTTCTACTTGTTTCAAGTTTGATTTGTGCTTGTTGCCAAATTTTAGTCGGGGTTCTTTTGTTGAATTTTTGGTGTTCAAAGGCAAACTAGTAGGTCTCTTAGGAAGGTTCTGCTGCTTAGGGAGAGGATAGATCTGAGCAGGTGGAACATCAGGAATTAAACATGCTTGGCCATTTGCAGCCTGTGTGAAATCCTGCTGCCCAGTCACTTCCACTGCAAGCTTTATGAGTGGATAAAGCAAGCTAGAACTGGTACTGCTCAATGGGTCTGGCCCACTGAACTGCTTAAGAGAGTGTTCCATGAGGTTCTCGTCAGAGCTCTCCTTGAGGTTCTTATCAACTTCTTTTGGGTCTAGCTTATTAGTCTCCAAGTCTTCTTCTGTCAGCTGTAAGCAGACAGGGGTTGGCCCCATTGACTGTGCAACATTTGTGGCATGCAAATTTGTCTCATCTGGGTACGGCACCTCAGATATAGTGGTCATGCCGGTACTTGGAGTGAGGCCAGTGGTGTTTGTGGTGGTTGTGTTTGTGGACAGGCTGGTGACACTTGTTTCAGGGCTGGAGATTCGAGCTTGTGCTTGCTGTCGTTCATAATTAATTGAATTCCGGTTCTTTTCTCCTATAGTCAAAGGTGTGCTGGACATTGAGTGCTCAGAGGATATATTCTTCACAATGCTGTCAGTGTGATGTATGGAGTCTTCAATATATGAGGAAGAAGAATAATCAGGATAAGGCCCAATTTTTGGCACACGCCTATTATGTGATAGGTTGCTTGAAGAAAGAAAAAAAAAGGTATGACAATGAGAACATAAACTTATGACAAATTGTCTATTCTAAGTAAACACCACTGATTTCAAAGTCCATTGTTTCTCCCCTACTCCTAGACAAGGTTTTTCTGTACAGCCCTGACTGTCTTGGAGCTCACTCTGTAGACCAGGCTGACCTCAAACTCAGATACCTACCTGTCTCTGCCACCACCTCCCAGCTTCAATTACTTTTTATTTTATACTTTGCATTCTTCTATTGCACTTATTTACTTAATACGTATGAATGCATATAGAGATCAGAGGTCAACCTGTGGAAGTCAGTTCTCTTCCAACATGTGGGTTTCAGGAATCAAACCAGGTTATCAGGTTTAGCAGCAAGTACTTTACCTGCCAAGCAATCTCACTAGCCCTGGTTTACTCCTAACTCATATTTAAGAGTAAGTGAGGCATAAGATGACTCTCAGATAAAGGAACAAAAGCTGAATGGCCAATAGCTAGGCAGGAGAAAGAACAGGCAGGGCTGGCATGCAGAGGGAATAAGTAGGAGGAGAAATCTAGGGAAGAGAGTGAGGATCAAGAAAAGGAGAAAGAGAGGAGGACACCAGGGGCCAGCCAGCAAGCCAGCCAGCCACAGAGTAAGAAGGAAAGACAGATATGTAGAATAAAGAAAGGTAAAAAGCCCAGAGGCAAAATGTAGTTAAAGAGAAACAAAATAATTTAAGCTAAAAAAGCTTGCTAGAAATAAGCCAAGCTAAGACCAGGCATTTGTAAGTTAGAATACATCTCCATGTATTTATTTGAGAGCTGGGTGGCTGGCTCCCAAAGAGCAAAAAACTCAACTGCAAATCAGGACTTCTCTTCAGTCACTGAGGTGCACAACTGGCACCAACACTCCTGGGAAGTGTCAGCTCTAGACTGTCATGCTGTTATGTAATTATTTAAATCTCATTACAGAAAACGTTAGGGACAGCCTTCACTGAAGTGATCAAGCACTGGAACATTCACAGATGAAAACATTGCAGAAGAGAATCAGCTGAAGGAAAAGAGGGTCCATAAAAGAAGACTGCAAGGGAATGACATAAAGGCAAAGAAAAGGCTGTTACACAAACATGAAAAGGGAAGCTAAAGGGATGAGAGGTTAAAGAACAATAAGAGGAAGCCTACAGTGCAAATGATTATTGAATGAACTGTCATTTAAGAGAAACCTGGGAGAGACTGGAGGTAAGAAGAGCCATTGCAAGTAAAGGTGACTAACATAAGGGGGGAAAACAAAATAGATACATGGGGTTTCTTTTTATCATTCAAAAAAATTGAAAAGTATTTTTTTTTCTTTAAGACAGGTTTCTCTGTAGCTTTGGATCCTGTCCTGGAACTCACTGTGTAGACCAGACAGCCTCAAACTCACAGAGATCTACCTGCCTCTGCCTCCTGAGTGCTAGGATTGAAGCGTGCACTACCGCCGCCCAGCAACTCAAAGGTATTTAAAGTAGGAGCTTGTGGTGTATACCTTTAATCCCAGAACACAGAAGGCAGAGGCAGGCGGATCTCTGTGAGTTCGAGGCCAGCCTGATCTACAAAGCTACACAGAAAAACCAAAAAGGAGCTTCAGGTGACTCATTTTTTTTTTTTTTAAGACTTTTAAATTTCATCTATTTCATGTAGTTGCCTGTAGATGTGTATGTGGCTCATGTTCATGTGTGGTATCTGTATAGGTTAGAAGATGAAGTAGGACTCCCTGGAATGGAGTTACAGATGGTTAGGAACCACCATGTGGATGGGTGCTGGGAACTGAACCAGGGTTTGCTTAAAGAGCAACAAGGGCTCTAACTGAGCCATCTCTCTAGTCCCTTCATCTGACTCTTGACAGACATATAAACTGCATGTTTTACAGATTATGAGGCAGCAGAAATACAGAATGAAGATGGAAGCAGAAGACTTTTCTAATCCTTGTAAAGTGAGAGCACTTCTATTTAGAACAGCTAGTCTCTTTCTACTCTTCTTGATTTGTGATATGCAAGATACACAGCTGAGGCTCTTTCCACCTATTTATAAGTAGTGCAGACAGCACACATTACAAATTGTTGTTAGAAAGAACATAAAATAGAGGGGGAAAAGATTTAAAATTGAAATATACTTTTACTTTCATGTCACCTGATAATATTTTTCCTGGATGTCTTTTCTGAAACTTTATGTTTGTTTGTTGTTTTTGTTTTTTGAGACATGATTTCTCTGTGTAACAGTCCTGGCTGTCCTGGAACTCACTTTGTAGACCAGGCTGGCCTAAAACTCACAGAGATTTACCTGCCTCTGTCTCCCAAGTGCTGAGATTAAAGGCATATACCACAACAGCCCAGCTTTCTGAAACTTTTAAATATGTATTAGATAAAGTACTAAAGTTGTTATTTTTGCTCCCAAACACAGAACCAAGAAATATAGTTTATCTGTTTACAAGTGCCAAAGTACAGGGATGTTTCGGCTTTTCTTTTCTTTTTTTTGGTTTTTCGAGACAGGGTTTCTCTGTGGCTTTGGAGGCTGTCCTGGAACTAGCTCTTGTAGACTAGACTGGGCTCGAACTCACAGAGATCCGCCTGCCTCTGCTTCCCGAGTGCTGGGATTAAAGGCGTGTGCCACCAACGCCCGGTGAGATGTTCCGGCTTTTCAACTTTTGAGACAGAGTTTTAATCTGCAGCCCAGATTGGCCTGGAACTCATCATTTAGTCTAAGATGGCCTTGCACCTTTGGCAATCCTCCTGCCTCCAAGGTCTGAGATGACAGGCATGAACTACCAGTTTAATTTCTTCAAAAAGCCTTTAAAAAAAAAAATGTATACAGTGTTCTGCCTACATGCTAGAAGAGGGCACCAGATCTCATTTAGATGGTTGGTTGTGAGCTACCATGGGGGTGGCTCTTAACTGCTGAGCCATCTCTCCAGCCCCATGAAGTCTTTCTTTTTTTAATGTTTATTTTTATTTTATATGAATGGGCGTTTTTGTCTGCAAACTACATATGTGCCTGCCAGAAGAGGGTGTTAAAGCCCCCTGGAACTGGGATTTGAACTGTTTATGAGCCATCATGTAGGTACTGGGAATTGAACCTGGGCCCTCTGCAAGAGCCGCCAGTTCTCTTAATCCCTGAGCCATCTCTCCAGCCCTAAAAAGCCTTTTTATTTAGGATTTAAATTATAGTTCTAACAAAGGAAATGTCTCATAAGACCATATTCACAGTGTAGTAGAAAGAAGTATTAGTGTGTTCTTTAAGAAAGAGTATTGGAGAGGCAGTCTGAAAGTCCTAGTGTGCAGTGAAACAGTAGTAGATATCCAGGCAAAGTCACAGCTCTGCATGCTTTAAGAAATAAAAGGACACTAATAAAAAACAAGAGATATACCACACAATATATGTAGAAGCAGTTATAAACTTCTTACAACTAGGAAAATATTTTACCTTTACCATTAAAGGCAAGTTACATTAACTCCCCCCTACCCACACACACACATTTTTTTTCCCCCTTTTGGGTTTTTGAGACAGGGTTTTTCTGTGTAGCCCTAGCCATCCTGGAATTTGCTCTGTAGACCTCGAACTCAGAGATCCAAATGCTAAAGGCAAGTGCCATCATGACTGGCTAATAAAGAGTAATTTCTTTTACTGTATCTTTAGATACAAAATTACAGATTCTGCTTTGTACTCATATCAAATAAATATTTTCAGTGCAAGGATGGAAATACAGAGGGGCTAGAGAGAAGGCTCAGTGCTTAAGAGCATGCATTACTCTTGTACAGGACCTGAATTCAGTTCACAGCACCACAGCTCACAACTGCCTAATCCCAGCTCTAGAGGGATCTTATACCTCTGGCCTCCAGACTGGGAATACTGAAAGGAAATGATACCCTTGTACTATATGAGCTACTACACTTATTAGGCTGGCCTAGCAGTGTTTACTTCCTGTCCTGTACTTGGTCTCAGTTGCCAACACCATGTGGTAGCTACAAGCCCACAGGGTCTTACCGTTCATTCTGCATGGCAGTAGACATTGGGTTGACTGTTGGGCTCACAGACTTGTTTCTCTCCCATATCATCATAAGTTCAGCCATTCTCTCCTCAGCACACTGTGCAGTGAGCCGAGCCTCTGCATCCTGGTCCCAACAATCTTCAATCGTTTCCTTGAGTGATCTCACTGCCTATAACACAAAATAGACATCAGACAGCATGCTGTTTTTAACTGTATTCAGGATTTTAATTTAAAACATGCCAAAGAAAATCAGGTTTTTTTTTAATTGTGTGTGTGTGTGTGTGTGTGTGTGTGTGCATGCATGAGTTTTTTTGGGTTTGTCTTTTTTTTTTTTTTTTTTAAGACAGGGTTTCTCTGTGTAGCCCTGGCTGTACTGGAATTCACTATGTAGACCAGGCTGGCCTTCAACTCAGAGATCCACCTGTCTCTGCCCCTGAGTGTTGGGATCAAAGGCAACCACCATGCCAGGCTCCAAACTAACATTTTCTAACTAACTAACTAAAAAATATTCTGGGGGGTAAGGGTGGTGCATGCCTTTAATCCCAGCACACGGGAGGCAGAGGCAGGTAGATCTCTGTGAGTTCAAGGCCAACCTGATATACAAATTGAGTTCCAGAACAGCCAGAAAACTCGTGTCTCAAAATCAAACCAAAATAAATAGATAAATAAACTAAAAAAATTATATATTTTGAATGTTGCAGTAGCAAAAAAAAATACTCATCTTAAGTATTACATGGTGTATGTATTCTCCCCTCTGTCTGTCTGTCTGTCTATCCGTCCATCCGTCTGTCCCTCGTCTCTCCTGATCTTGTGACTGACTTGTATTAGGGCCCTCCTTTAATCTATTTAAAGTTTAAGGCTGAAATGAAGCATACTTAACTAGATGTAACATACTAAAACATAAGTTGCATCTGTGTAGCCCTGGATGTCCTGAAATTCACTCTGTAGACCACGCTGGCCTCAAACTCAGATATCCACCTGCCTCTGCCTCTGCCTCTGGAGTGATGGGATTAAAGATGTGTGTCTCTGTGCCCAGCTCTTTATTTTATTATTTATTCTGTTTATTTATCTATTTAGGTTTTAGGGACTTATACTTGAAATTTTAGCACTTGGGAAGTAGAGGCAGGAAGATCAGGAGTTCAAGGATATTTTTGATCCTAGAATAAGTTTAAGACCAGACTGGAATGCAGGAGATCCTGCCTAAAAACAAACAGAAAGCAAAAAGAATGCAAAGAAACAAGAATGTATTGTCTATTTATAGGAAAATAAAATCTTAACAGACATTGAGGAAGTACAGACACTAGAGGTATCAAAAATTTCAAGTGAACCACCTTAAATATGCGCAAAGAAAACAATGGGTGAAGAACTAAATGTAAGAAAACATTTTTGTTTTCTGTTTTGGTTTTTCGAGACAGGGTTTCTCTCTGTAGCCCTGGCTGTCCTAGAACTCACTTTGTAGACCAGACAGGCCTTGAACTCAGAGAGATCTGTCTGCCTCTGCCTGCTGACTGCTGGGATAAAAGGCATGTGTCACCATGCCTGGCCTAAGATAGACAGATGAGAACTGAACCCAGAGCTGATGCAGGAGCAGCTAGTACTCTTAACTACTGACCTTTCTCTTCAGCACTCACATCCTAAGAAAGTGATGTTGAAATAAACAGAGTAACAATAAAAGACACTATTTTTTTAAAAGACTTAAAATGATATTTTAAAGCACAATAACAAATATTCGTGTTTATCTGAGTGGTTCAACATCAGATAATAAGCAGAAGGAAGAAAGAACCTGTGAATTTGAAGATGGAAAAACAAAGTTATTCAGTCTGAGTATAGAAGTCAAAAGAATGAGGAAAAAGGAACAGAAACTAGACTACTGAGAAGTAATTCTTAGCACAGGAACAAACATACTAAATACACAAGATAGAAGCTATAGAAGGGGAAGAGAAAAGGGCAGGAGTACATGAACACATGATGTGAAACTCAAGTTTATCCATATACCCAAGAACCTTGATGAACTCTAGGTAGGATGACTCCCATAGCTCCATGATAAGACAACTTTCAGTTGAAGTGCCATAAACCAAAACTGAACAGAGATCCTGACAATGAGAAACTAAAACAAGACTCTGGTAAGATCAACAGCCATTGGAACCCAGAAGGCACAAGTATGGCATATTTAAGCATTGAAATAGAAAACAATTGTTAAGAAGAATTACATATTGGGGCTGAAGAGATGGAAGATCCTGAGTTCAATTCCCAGTTATCAGATGGTGGCTCACAGCCATCTATAATGAGATCTGGTGCACTCTTCTGGTATACAGGCATGAATGGAGGCAGAATATGTAATAAATAAACAAATCCTAAAAAAAGGAATTACATATCAAAAAAATTCTTCAATAATGAAGAAATTAGGAGTCTCAGATATTGAATCTGGGGAAGTCACTATGTAGACATGCCCTGTAAGAAAGTTAAATGGGCCTTTCCACACTGAAATTTAAAAAGTAATTACAGATAACTATAAGAGTCAATAAGCTGTTTTGGTTTGGTTTGGTTTTTTGGTTTATTTTGAGACAGAGTCTCACTATGTAGCTCTGGCTGTCCTGGAACTCACTGTATAGACTACACTGGCCTCCAACTCACAGAGATCTGCCGGCCTCTTTCCCAAGTGTTAGAGAAAGAATGCCACTAAGCCCACCTAAACAGCATTTTTTTTTTTAAAATACCTCTTCCTTTTTTTTTAAAGAATAAATAAACCTTTAGTCATTTTAATAAACTAGAGTTAGAGAGAAAGTATATAGTTTATACTTTAAGTAGACTGCAGAGAATTTTTTTTTTTCCTTTTTGGCTGTACCATATCAAGTTTAAATGGATTTGTTGGAGGTAAACCAAGTATTAAAAATCCCTTACTTAGCAACTTCATGTAAATCAGAAGTAAAAAGTTTTCAGGTAAATCTGCATATCCTGCATATCTCACTATGGTACGGTTGCCAACAAATACTTCAAAAGAATAAATCTTAGTTGTTGCAGTGAAACAAAACAATTTAAGGAAGACGAAAAGATGAAGTTCCAATTTATTATAACAAATTCTCAGAGATTTCATAGACAGTTTTCTATGAGGTCAGCAGCTCTGGGGAATCCTGGTAGAGTACAGTTCATACTCTTACCTACTATCTGGGCCTCTTAGGGAACTACCCAAGATGCACAGCAAAAACTGCAATTTGAAGGCAATGGTGTATGAACTTAACAAGCTCTTCAATAGCACATACTTAAAGATTCTAATCTCATTTGAAACATAAGCTAGCTTTAAGATTAATCTATTAACAAAGATGACCAATAAGATAAAGTCAACCTATCTGAATGGAAATACACAGGGTCTCTCTGGTTTCTGATATGACGCGAAGGAAAACATTCTATTCTATTGAGGTGATCTGTAACTGGGATGGGAAAATATAAAGGAAAATGATTTAAATTACTAACTTTCTGCATATTTCTTACTTAATTATAATATATAAAAATAATTTGTACTAAGTATAATGATGTAATAAATACATTCAGAAGTAGTCATCATAAAAATATCACTGTAGAAATTGAAATAAAAAATTTTAATTTGGGCTGGAGAGATGGCTCAGAGGTTAAGAGCACTGGCTACTCTTCCAGTGGTCTTGAGTTCAATTCCCAGCACCCACATGATGGCTCACAACTATCCGTAATGAGAGCTGATGCCCTCTTCTGGCTTGCAAGGATACATGCAGACAGAATACTGTATACATAATAAATTATTTATTTATTTATTTTTTTCGAGGCAGGGTTTTTCTGTGGCTTTGGAGGCTGTCCTGGAACTAGCTCTTGTAGACCAGGTTGGTCTCGAACTCACAGAGATCCGCCTGCCTCTGCCTCCTGAGTGCTGGGATTAAAGGCATGCGCCACCACCGCCCGGCAATAACTTAATTAAAAAAAAATTTATTTATTTATTTATTGGGCGAGAATGGCAAATGTCATGGTGTACACGTGGTGGTCAGAGGACAACTTTCGTAAGTCAGTTCTTTCCTTTCAATCTTTGGGTTCCAAGGGCTGAAATACATCATCAGGCTTGGTGGCAAGAGCCCTGACCTGAGGAGCCATCCTGCCATCCCAGGAAATTAAAAATATAATAAACAAATAATTGACACAATAGTGCTAGTGAGAAATTAATGGATGGCTCAAAAGGTAAAGCTGAGCAAATGCTGAACAATTAGAACAACAATGAAAACCAGATGGAAGCCAGAGATGCAGCTCAGTTGGTGGAGTGTGAGCATACATGAAATTCAAACCCTGGGTTAGATCGACAGCACCACATAAATCATCATGGTAGTAGCATGTGGACTTCAGAAGTAAAGGCAGGAGTTCAGTTGTCCTCAGCTACAAAATTAAATTAGTATGGACTCATGTAGCCCTGTTTCCCAAACAAAAAATAAGTGGGAAATACAAGGAAGAAATTCAGACTTGGAATGTCAGGTGGTTAAATATTGGTTTAATGTGGGTGTTGGTGGTACACGCCTTTAATCCCCCCACTCAGGAGTGGATCTCTGTGAGTTCGATGCCAGCCTGGTCTACAAGGTTCCAGGAAAGGCTCCAAAGCAACACAGAGAAACCCTGTCTCGAAAAAACAAAACAAAAAACAAAACAAAACAAAAAAATTGGTTTAATGAGTGAACAAAGAAACATAAGAAGTAATTTTAAAATAAATATTAGAGAACTCCTGATTGAGGAAAGTCTTGGATTTTCAAACTGAAAAATCTATTCAATAGATTTCCAGGAAAAAAGTGTGAAAAGATCCATGCTAACATATACCCAAGTGAAATCTCAAAACTTCAATGGCAAAATTGGTTCTTTGGGAAGCATTAGGAGATATGGCCTTGACTGAGGATGTACGTCACTAGGGGTGGGTGGGCTTTGAGGTTTCAAAAGCCCAAAACAGGCTCAGTCTCACTCTTTTTGCCTGCTGCCTATGGATCTGATGTAAGTTTTCAGCCACTGATCCAGTATCATGCCTGCCTGCCAGCCACCATGCTTCCTGCCATGATGACCATGGACCTACCCTCTGAAACTTAAGCAAGCCCCCAATTGATCATTTTATAAGTTGCCTTGATCATTTTGTCTCTACACATCAATAGAACGGTAACTAAGACAGCCAACATGAGAATGGTGGAGGCAGGAGGATAAGGTGTTCAAAGTTATTTTCAGCTATGTAGGGAGTTTGAGGTCAGTCTGGGCTTAATGAGATCCTGTCTCAAAAGAACAACAACAACAAAAAGATAAAACATAAAACAAAAAAGCAATGGAGGGTCTGTGTGAGATAGGTTGGTAGGTAAAAGCATTATTCACGCCAGCCTGACAACCTGAGTTCTGAGTTCAATCCTTGGAACCCATTTAAAAAAGGACTCGTGCTATGTACAGCATGATCCCAGCACTTGTACTGTGAGATTGTGATGAGACAGAACTGCCTAGAAGCTCATGGCTAGGTACTTTGGAAGCAAGCAGTGTGGCAGAAATAAAGAGGGACCCTGTCTCAATAAGGTAGAGAGGAAGAACTGACTGCCAAGGTGTCCTATGACCTCCAAATGTACACCACAGCATATACTCACCTGGCCCAACAATGGAGAAAGACTGGCCTACATCCAAATTCTCATTATGAAGACTGGAGTCTAGAGGACATCTTAACAACTTTGGAAACCATTACTCTGCTGATGTATTACTCATATGTGATATCACTAAGATGGAAAGTTTTTAAACATGCAAAGAATTGTAATGTTTAACACCCAACACACATAATAATATACATTACTTAAATGGAACTTCATCAAAAGAAGAAAAATTATTTATAAGAGAAAGGCATAGATTTTTAAAAAAATGTTTCTCCTGGGTAGAACCTAAAAAGAACAAAAAAGAAAGATGACAAAGAACCAGGGAATCCACCAGATGGTGTTTTTTAAAACAAGCTTTCCCAAACAGCAAGGGCTTAAGGCAATGAATATAGTATGTGTGGTTCCTATGAGTCCAAGCTCTGTATTCTGTTGTAGAAGAATGCTTACATAAACACAATTCTGATGTTTTTGTTTCAATTAACTTTTTATATTAAGTTGGTTATATACCTACCTCTACACCACCACCCCCAATCTGTCTTTGACAATGTTTTAGGTTTTTTTGTTTGTTTTGGTCTGTTTTTTTTTTTTTGTTTTTGAGACAGGGTTTCTCTATGTAGCTTTGGAGCCTGTCCTGGAACTCGATCTATAGACCAGGCTGGCCTCGAACTCACAGAGATCCACCTGCCTCTGCCTCCCGAGTGCCAGGATTAAAGCCTTGTGCCACCAATACCCAGTCTTTGACAATGTTTTACACTGAAGCCCAGACTGGCCTTGAATGTGTGATTCTTTTGCCTCGCCCAGTAGTAGGGTACAGCAATGAATCACCACAGCTAGGTGGCTTCTATTTTTGCTTCAAGAACATTTAGACTTATCTAGTTCTAGTCAGAAGTCCTCTTTTTCTTACCAGGCTATTTTCTTTCCAGGCTTCTGGGAACTTGGGTCTCTGCTTTTCTCTAGACACAAGAACCTGCATATCTTCAAAAGTGGGATGGTTACCAACTTCTGTCTGAAAAGCCATCTGGTATTCTGGTACAGATTCACCTGTGTATTTAGAGAAAGAATGATAGAATTTCTAATTATTATAAAGGACAAAATAGAAGAGGTATTTCTAGTATCAAATGAGCACAGAAATCATATATATTAAACCCTCGTAAGCATATATGCAAATTTAAGAGACTTTATTTTTTTTGGTGTATTGTTAATATTTAGAACAGTCTCAATTTTACTGATAAATAAAATAGTAGTTTCAATGCCATACAGATATTTTACTTAACTTATTATTTGGTGTTGGGGAGCAAACTCTAAGCCTTAAACATGCAAAGTATATGCTTGAATACTGAGCCTCGTTTTTTTGTTTGTTTAGTTTGTTTTTTTGAGACAGGGTTTCTCTGTGTAGCTTTGTAAACCAAGCTGGCCTCGAACTCACAGAGATCTGCCTGCCTCTGCCTCCCATGTGCTGGGATTAAAGGCATGCACCACCACCCCCCAGCAAGCCTTGTTTTTAAATGCAGTGCAGTATTCTAATAATTTGGGCTCTGCTGCATAGATTATAAAAACATACAATTATCTATACCTTGATAGAGGGTAAGAATGTAAGGATTGTTTTGACTATTCAAATAGAAATAAAATCTTGCCATGTTTTATGGAGTTTTTTTCAACTGGGTCATTATAACTTTTTTATTGTTGTGCCAGTGAGATAAGGAAGGCAGACATTACTATTATGCTGACAGGAAGATTGAAACACACAAGAGTTAAGTGACTTTTCCAAGGAAGAGATGAAGCCAAGATAAGAACCAAAATGCCCTAACCTTCATCCCTTCTATCTTGTTATTTTAATACATTAGAGTGGTAGTGAGGAGCCAGGAAGACTGTAGTTCTCTTGTGTCCTTTGCCAAGGTTCCTGGCCTACAGTGGATCTCTACATGTGGGTCTCAACCCACGTGGCAAGCCTCTATTTCAAAAACTATTTATATTATAATTCATAACAGAAAAAATACAGCTACGAGGTAGTAACAAAAATAATTTTATGGCTAAGGAGGGTTACTATAACATGAGGGACTGTATTAAAGGGTTACAACATTAGGATTGTTGGGAACCACTGCTTTAGGCCATTGGATTTTTTTTTTTTTTTTTTCCCGAGACAGGGTTTCTCTGTGTAGCTTTGGAGCCTATCCTGGCATTTGCTCTGGAGACCAGGCTGGCCTCGAACTCACAGAGATCCACCTGCCTCTGCCTCCCTAGTGCTGGGATTAAAGGCATGTGCCACCAACACCTGGCTGGCCATTGGATTTTATGTGTTAGTTTTATGGGATCTTCTGTATGGCTCAGTATGTTTTATTTATTTATTTATTGGTTTATTTCAAGGCTGGTTTTCTCTGTGTAACCTTGGCTGTCCTAGAACTTACTCTGTAGACCAGGCTGGCTTTGAACTCACAGCGATCCACCTGCCTCTGTCTCCCTAGTGCTGGGATTAAAGGTGTACACCACCACTGCCCAGCTTCAGTATGCTTAAAAATACACTTTACCACATTTTGTAAAAGTCAGAAGTATTCATCATAAGCAGCAAATTGTACCTATTGATGGCACACACAGTTATCAAATACTGGTAGAATACATAGTGATGCTGTAAAATTCTAAATTTAAATACTGCTTTTTAAGAGGAAGAATTAAACAATGACATAGTTATTGTTATAATTTTTTACAGGACTAACCATGGGTAGAGCTCAGTTGGTAGAGTGCCACCTAGCATTCAGAAGTCCTGAGGTTAGTCCCAGCCCTGCACAAACCTGGTATGGTGTTGTACACCTGTAACCTTATCCCTTAGGAGGTGACAGCAGGAGGATCTAGTTCAGAGCCATCCTTGGCTAGATAAGGAATGTGAGGCCAGCCTGGAATACATGAAACCCTATTTCCAAAGCAAAACAAAACAGAAAATTTGTGATATTTAATACATTCTGGCTGAATGAGAATAAAGCCAATGACCTCATAAGGCATGATATATTATTAATATCTAGATAGTCTCAAATTTTATTGAAATAGTTTTAATGCTATACAGACATTTCACTTAACTTATTCTTTAGTGTTGGGGATCAAACTTAAGGCCTTAAACATTCTCAGTACACTCTTCAACACTGAGCCCTGCATAGCCTTTTCATCTTTTCTTTCTTTCTTTTTTTTGGGGGGGTGGGGGGGGGTTTGGAGCCTTTCCTGGCACCACCGCCTGGACAGCTTTTTAAAGTTAAGTTTTCTAACATGGGACTATATCTTAGACTAGAGAGGTATTTTAAAATAGTTTTGACTGCTATTAAATTTAGGAGTTAAGTATTATAAGAAACATTTAATACTTAAACTTATACCTGAATTCTGATTTCATGTTAAGAAAATAAAGAAAAGTTGGGCAGTGATGGCACACACCTTTAATCTGAACACTCAGCAGGCAGAGGTAGGTGGATCTCTGTGAGTTCAAGGCCAGCCTGGTCTACTGATCGAGTTCCAGGACAACCTCCAAAGCTACACTGAGAAACCCTGTCTCAAAAAACCAAAACCAAAAAAATAACAACAACAACAACAAAAAAGCCAGGATTTAGCACAACAACTACAACCAAATTTAAATTTAAGAGGAGAGACTGAATTATCACTCAGCAGAGAAAAATCCCACTAAATATTATGGTCCTAAATCTAGTTTTTCAATAAATACTTATCTGGAGCTAACTTTATTAATAGACTGAGGACTAAAGATGTTAATCTCCTGTGATGATGGGAGATATTAGCCTTAACAGATTTTCTTAAGACTTTATAGTTATTGGATTGTTTAAGGGAAGTCCTTTTAACTTATTTTCTTTTGAAAACCTGAAACGTACCTGAAGACTAATTTCTAATGCTGTAGAAGGCAAGCACTTGTATGCATGCCGCTATAGCCAAATATTCATTAAAAATGATAAATTCTTGGGGCTGGAGAGATAGCTCAGTGGTTAAGAACAGCTGATGCTCTTGCAAAGAACCTGGGTTTAGTCCCCAGTACTTTACATGGGGACATCTATAACTCTAGTTCCAGGGTATCTAATGGCTACTTTTGAACTCCACTGGCATCAGGTATTCACATGTGCACATTTATATGTGCAGGTAAAACACCCATACACATAAAAATTTAAAATCACTGAATAACAATGGCCCCCATAGGATCATATATTCGAATATTTAGTCACCAGGGAGCACAACTCTTTGATAGGAATAGAAGGATCAGGACGTGCAGCCTTGTTGGAGTAGATGTGGTCTTGTAAAAAGCAACGTGACTATCACTGGGGTGGCCTTGAGGTTTTAACAGCCCATGCCAGACCCAGTCTCCCCTCACTCCTGGTATGGATCAAGGTGTAGCTCAGCTCCTCTCAGCACCATGCCTACAATGCCTGCTGCCAGGCTCCCACCATTAGGATAAGGGATTAAGCCTCTGAAACTGTAAGCCAGCTGCAACAAAATGCTTTCTTTTATAGTAATTGCCTTAACCATGGTGTCTATTCACAGCAATAGAACAGTAACTAAGATAATCATAAAAGTAAAAAATAAAATAACAACATCCTGGTCTACAAGAGCTAGTTTCAGGACAGTCTCCAAAGCCACAGAGAAACCCTGTCTCAAAAAAACAAAACAACAAAATAAAAAAATAAATAAATTCTTCAGTTATCTATCAATATTCCTTTTCAAACTTCCCTGTAACTAAATCATCCTTCTGACTAAAAACAACATCTAAGTTCCTGGCTGCTACTCTATTTCTCAGACCTCTAGATACTTCTCTAAAGCCAGATTCCTTCTTTGAATTCACTCTCTTGTTTTGTTTTTTGTTTTGTTCTAGACAGGATTTCTCTGCATACTCCTGGCTGTCCTGGAGTTTACTCTGTAGACTAGACTGGCCTTGAACTCAAGAGATCTGCCAGTCTCTGCCTCTGAGTGCTGGGATTAGGATTAAAGGTATGCATCACCATTGCCTGACCGAATTTACTGGTTTTTTTTTTTTTTTCTTGTTTGTTTTTCTAGACAGAGTTTCACTGTGTAACAGCCTTGGCTGTCCTAGAACTAGCTCTGTAGACCTTCAGAATGACATCAAAATGACAGAGATCCACCTGCCTCAGCCTCCCAAGTGTTGGGATTAAAGTCATACACCACCAATGCCTGTCTTGAATTTACTCTTAATGTGTTCTTCTTATCCACTTCTATGGCAAGATTATAGGTATTGTGATAGTAAATTAATATTGATCATCCACTTGATTGGATTAAGAAGTACCTAGGAGAATCAAACATTCTGGGTGTCTGTGAGGACATTTCTAGACATGCTTAGATCGTAAGAGGTATGACATAATGAACATCCCTTTGATTCATCCTTTGATAACTCACAATATAATAATTGAAACATGGCAAAATTCGAGAGGTGGGATCAGTAAGAGGAAGTAGGTTGTGGGAGGGTACCTCTGGAGTTATATGTATTGCCTAGACTATCCCTATTTCCCATCTCCCATTAAGAAGCTCCTCTGCCACACGCTCCTGATAGCAACTATGAACTGCGATCTCTAAAACTTCAGTCAAAATTTCTTCCTTTGTTTTCTCAGATATTTGTACAGTAATAGTAAGTATCTCAATGTGATTTTTAGTTTGTATTTTTTAATTGTTGTAAAAATAATACTGAGTACAAAAATCTATTATTTTAATCATTTTTGAGTGTACAGTTCTGTGGCATTAGATACAATTCCCATCGTGCAACTATCACCATTATCCATCTCTAGAACTCTCTTCATAATGCTAAGATTCTAATCACTAAACAAAAAAATTTAACTCTGAATTTTAAACTTTTATAATCCTTCCTATTCTATTTATTAGTTTTTAAAGTTAGCATACAAGCAGCGAATGCCCTTAATCTCAGCACTCAGCAAACAGAGGCAGGCAGATCTCTGCAAGTTTGAAGCCAGCCTGGTCTACAGAGCTAGTTCCAGGACAGCCAGGGCTACTCAGAGAAACTCTTTGGGGGGGGGGGGAGTTAGTATATAAAGTGATGGGCTGCTGCTGCTGCTGCTTCCTCCTCGTTTTTTTTCAAAACAGGGTCTCACTATGCAGCTCTGGCTGTACTGAAACTCACTGGCCTCTTAACTCAGATAGATACCTGCCTCTCTGCCTTCCAAGTGCTGGGATTACAGGTATGCATCACTACACCCGACAGTAATAGGTTTCATTATGACATTTCCATACATACTTTGCTCTTTATATTTATATCCCTCTTCCCTCCCCCATCCCCACCCTTTAGTCCCCTCTGTTTACATGTTACATATACTCTATTACTCTCTCCCTCCCGATCTTGAGAGCTCTTCCTCTCCTCTCATGGACTCTAGTTTCAGAACCTAAGCCCACACATGCCCCCATAATTAAAAATTAGTATTTAGAGTATGCATATAAGAGAAAGTATGTGGTATTTGTTTGAGTGGTATTTGTTTGAGGTGGCTTATTTTACATAGCACAGTCATTTCCAGATTCATGCATTTTCTTATTAGTGTCATGATTTCCTTTTTCTTCATGGCTGAACAAAATTCCATCACACACACTTTCTTTTATCCATCACCTGATTCCAGTTCTTAGCTATTATGATTGGTGCACCAATGAACAGAAATGGGTAAATATCTCAGTCAAAAGGACTTAAAAATATACCCAAAAGTGGTATTGCTGTATTGTGGAATGATCTTTTTGTACACTGTGAAGATGTGTCACTCTGATTGGTTTAATTAAAATCTGAAAGGCAGTATTTTCAGACACAGATGACATAGAGAAGGGAGAAGATGCTAGGAATGCAGAGTAAGCAGCTATCAGCCAAGCTTTCATAATTAATCATAAGTCTCTGTGTGGTTATTTGGGAGCTGGCAGGCAGAACAGAAAAAATCCACCTACACTGCTTGATCATATACTATGGTTTTTGTTGTTGTTGTTGTTGTTACTAAATTTTATTTATTTTTTTGTGCATGTGTGTGTGCCCATGACAGACAAGTTTGTAGAGTTTCTACTTCCAGCTTTACATCGGTTCTGAGGAATGAACTCAGGTCATTAGGTCTGTGCAGCAAGAGTCTTCACCAGGTGAAACATCTTGCCAGCCCATATGGTAGTCCCATTTTTACATTTTGAAGAAACCTCCATATTGATTTCTATCGTGTCTGTGCCAATTTACTCCTGCCAGCCATGATAATCTATCCTATATTAAATCATCATATATATGTACATTTATACACACACATAACACATATACAAACAAAGATATTTATATGCTAAAATACTGTTCTGCAAACAAGACTTAACCTGAGGGGTTTTTAATGCCCTTTGTGGGGATTAAACCCAAGACACAAATGGGAGGCAGGTACTCTACCTCTGAGCCACACTCCAACCATTAATATTGCTCTTAATTGTTTATTAGAACAAAAGTAATAGTCACCCTTTAATTGTAGTACTTTTTGTTTTTAAAGATTTGTTTATTTAGTATACAGTGTTCTGTTTGCATGTATTCCTGCAGGCCAGAAGAGGGCACCAGATCTCATTATATATGGTTGTGAGCCACCATGTGGTTGCTGGGAATTGAGCCCAGGACCTCTGGAGGAGCAGCCAGTACTCTTAACCTCTGAACCATCTCTCCAGCTCTAATTGTAGTACTTTTAAAACAAACAAACAGCTTCTGGTGGCTAGGAATACAGCTCAGTTACTAAAGTGCTTGCTATAATGCATGAGATCCAGGGCTCAGATCCCCTGGACCCATGTAAAAAGTCGGGCCTGGTAATGTGTACCTATAATACTAGTGCTGGGGAGGTAGAAACAAATGGATTCCTAGAGTTTGATGGTTAGCAGGTCTAACTGAATCCATAAGCTACAGGTTTCAGTGAGAAACCTTGTTTCAAAAGGCAAACAGCCATTAAGAAGATATCTGATGACAAATGTGAATATATATGGGCATGTACACCACACACACACACACACACACACACACACACACACACACACACACAAACACTTTTCTGCAAGTGGTCTGCATGCCTGTAAATCTGCACTTAGGAGGCAGAGGCACGGGGAGTACAGCAAGTTAGAAACTGGCTTGGGTTACATAGAGAATACTAGTAAGCCAGCACTCCTTTAATCCCAGCACTCTGGAGTTTGAGGTTGGCCTGGTCTAAAGAGCTAGTTCTAGGACAGCCAAGGCCACACAGGGAAACCCTGTCTAGAAAACCAAAATAAATAAAAACAAAACAGCCCAAATAAACCTAACAGCAGCTCTTACCTGGAAAGAGATCTGTACATCTCATAAACACCTCCCAGTAGATGAGTCCAAGAGCATACATGTCTACTTGCTTCAGAGCTGACTCACAGTCCCTCAGGTTCACAGCTCCTTCTAGCACTTCTGGTGCCATATAGCGAATTGTGCCAACCTGGTAAATTAAAAGTGGTATTTGAAAGAAATAAAATGCAACATATCCTGAAGGGCAAACATTAGACCAAAAATCATATGTAAAATTTACTTTTGTTAATGATACTATCAATCCCTAAGTAGATCACTGAGCCCTTTGTACAATGTATTTTAGGAATCTTTCCCTTCTTGATAATTAAATGGTATTATATCTGCTTTAGTAAAAACTACTCATTAATGAAAGAATAAAGTAAATGTTCCTATGCCAACTTTTAAAAATCTGGCTGGATTGTGGTGGTGCACGCCTTTCATCCCAGCACTGGGGAGGCAGAGAAGGGATGATCTCTATGAGTTCAAGGCCAACCTGGTCTACAGGGTGAGTTCCAGGACAGCCAGGGCTACACAGAGAATTACTTGAAAAACCCAAACCAACCAAACAAACAAATAAAATCCATGAAGTTGCAGGCTGTTCTGTAGTTACCTGTCTAAAGCATTGCCGCCATTGCAGTGTAGTTAATAATGCAAAACAAAAACTATTAAACATGGTGATAAAATTGAATATTTTTTTTCCAGTTTTTCGAGACAGGGTTTCTCTGTGTAGCTTTAGAGCCTATCCTGGAACTAACTCTTGTAGACCAAGCTGGCATCGAACTCACAGAGATCCACTTGCCTCTGCCTCCCGAGTGCTGGGATTAAAGGCGTGTGCCATCAATGCTCAGCTATCATTGAATATTTTTAAAAATTGCAAATCTGCACATATATGCACATCTATGTATGTGAAAGCAGAGAAAAGGATCAGAAAGGCTATGTTGACATTGTAACCACAGAGCAGACTTTCCTATATCAAACTTGGTAACCTTACTCTTGCTTCAAAAATCAACTCCTGCTTGAGTCTGGCAGCACCTTGCTGAAATCTCAGCCATCAGAGGAGAATGGTCAACTCAAGGCCAAATTGGGCTATATAAAGAGAATGTCTCAAAAAAAAAATTAAAAAACAAAACAACAAAACAAAACCCAGCAAATCTAGTAAGTTCCCTTTTATAACAAACAACAAAAAATAAATTCTGAGATACCTGTCCCTAATGTCTGCTCAAATAAGCTGGAATTTTCAAAATCAACTGACAACTTTACATGGGTCCTTATACTACGTATTTGGTGTTTCCTAATTTTTAACTCCTAAAAGTCTGCAGCTAACAGTACCTGGGATAACAGTTGTGAATGTTATGATTTCGCAGTATGGCAGTGTGATGGCTTATAGACTCACCTCACTTATAGCTGCATTATCTTCTTCCCCTGGGCGCACCAGTCTATTTCCAGTTAGCCTCATGGACAAACCAAAGTCACTAATAACACATGTGCCATCATTTTTTACCAGGACGTTTCTGCTGTTTAAATCTCGATGGGAAATTGCAGGTTTATAATGATCTGTTTGGATAATTTCAAATACTTGTTAATGCTTAAATAGATCTATTGGAGATTAAATTAACATGCAGACAATGGGAGCTACATATATGTAAATAAAAAATAGTGCTATTTCCCCTCCACTAATGGTCTAAAAACTGAGGGTGGGGAAAAGAAAGCTGGTTGTCAAGGAACACACCTGCAATCCTAGCACTTGGAATCCAGAGGCAGGAAGATCGAGAGTTTGAGACTAACAAGGGTTACACAGCAAAACTTTAACTCAACCCAAACCAGAACACCACAATTTCAACTTATCACTACTTTTCTAGTATCTCCTCTTACATACATAGTTAATCAAGCACTGAACATTCAATGGACTGTAATAGTAAACATAGTTCTAATTGTAGTACAAACTTTTTTTTCTCTCCATTTCTTTCTTTTGTTTTCATTGTTAGTAGGTAGGCTGGTTTTTCTTCAGACAGGGTTTCATGTATGTCAGCTGGTCTCCATGTAGCTATCACTCATCATCTAGGAAGCTTCTTTTTGTAGCAGATGGAGACCATTACAGAAAGCCACAACTGGTCAAACATGGAGAACGCCCCACCATGAAGTGCCTAGCCTCAACTGATACAAGCACAACACAACACCTACACCTAAGACTCAGAACATCACAAGAGCCAGAGGACCAGGACATGTGGTAAGAGACTATCTTCTCTTTAATGTATCCATTATACCTGTCCTGTATACAGGACAGGTAAGCTGAAATCCCAACAATGTGGCAGTCAAAGAAGAACTGAACTACGACAACATCAATGATATGCCAACAAAAATGGGGGAAATCTCACACAGCTTCACTCTAGATAAAGAGTCATAGGTAATTAATGATTGCTGAGAGGGAGAATCATTCTCCCACAGAAATAGTCCCCTAACTGGTTATCTAATACCAGGCCAGCCCTAAAAACCATATACATATGAGCAACACTAAATGGATCCAGCAGATGTATTACTTTTTATTTATTATTGTTTTTTCAACATAGGGTCTCACTATGTAGCTCTGGCTGTCCTGGAACTTACTATGTTGGGTGGCCTTGAATTCACAGAGATTCACCTGCCTCTGCCTCCTAAATGCCAGGATTTAAAAGCAAGAGCCACTGTTTGAGAAAAATAGCTTTAAGTAAAAAATTTCAGGCAGTGTTTGGCTTAAAACCTTGCTGAATCATGCAAACCTTGAAAGGGAAATGAGGGTATTTTAAATTCTGCTTTAAGGCAGCTTCTAAAAGGGGTTATAATATTTAAAAGTAAGGAAACAACGTCCAATCGCTAATGTGCTAAAACACTGAAGCAAGAGCATCAAGTTGCTGACACTGGCAATAACAGGTCAGTCTTGTACCTAGGGAAAGATGTCAAGTAAATGAGCCAATAAATTATTCAGAGGAAATTATTTATATATGAAGCATCAGCTAGAAAAGATGATCCATGCTATTATATAATGGAACAAAGATCTAAGAAATGGATACATCAAAGTCTCCTTACTAAAGAGGTCAAAGAAACTACAGGAACAGTGACAGGTTACAGTTTAACAAAATGTGGTACAGGGAGTAAAAACTGAGAAACCACCGAGACACGATTTTCACAGTCATGCTAATTTAGGGGTGCCTGTTATGTGAGTATATATTGAAACAAAGTGAGAAAGCAAATGTATTTAAAAGTGGTGCTTTGGACAACTAGTAAAAGAACATATGAAAGATGAAGAAGGCAAGTTATAACAGGGAATATAATATAGTTCCAAAATACTGGCCAAGACTGCCTTCCATTCCTATTTAATAACAGAATCCAACATTGTCTGAACAGCAATTTACTCAACAAAAACAGAACAACTATATTTTTGGTCTCAAGTGGGTAAGCATGTAGTAGTTCTTAAAAAAAAAATGTGCATGAGAGGAATTTCTGGAGGTAAAAGGGGACAATTCCTTTCCCCCTCTTTTTTTTCCTTGCTACCTAGACTATAGCACAATGGACAATGAGATAGCTATGAAAATAAAAGCCACATGCAAAGGATGGCAGAGAAAAAATATAGGAGCCTGTGTCTAATATCATGCTACCAAACCAGTACTTGACACTCTCGATTTAGGTTCTGGTTTTGTTTGTTGCTGGGGATTGAACCGAAGGGCCTTATGCACGCTAGTCAAATGCTCTGCACTCCACCACTGGTCTATAATCTCAATCCTCTCTTCAGTTGTTTCCTTCTCTACTTCCTCTCTTTTTTTTTTTTTTTTTTTTTCTTTTGGTTTTTGAAACAGGGTTTCTCTGTGTAACAGCCCTGGCTGCCCTGGAACTAGATTTGTAGACTAGCTAGCCTCGAACTCATAGAGATTCACCTACTTCTGCCTCCTGAGTGCTGGGATTAAAGTCGTGCATACCACCAGTCAGCCCTCCACTGCCTTTTATAAGACAGCTCTCATTATGTGGTCAAATGTGGCTTAGAATCACTAGGCATCCCAGGTTGGCCTTCAACTCACAAGTCTCCTGTTTCAACCTGAGTATGAGGATTATAATTAGTATGTGCCATCTTATTTGGCCTCTCTTTAGATTTTTTTTTTTTTAAACAGGGTCTCATTATATGACCTTGGTTGGCCTGACCTTGTTATGTAGACTTAGGCTAGCCTCAAACTCAGATCCATCAGCCTCTGTCTCATGATTGTTTGGATTAAGGGCCTGAGCCACCATGTCTGGCTCTCTTGAGATTCTTTTTTTTTTTTCCTTAAAGATTTTATTTATTATGTATACAACATTCTGCTTCCATGTACACCTGCACACCAGAAGAAGGCACTAGATCTCATAACAGATGGTTGTGAGCCACCATGTGGTTGCTGAGATTTGTACTCAGGACCTCTGGAAGAGCAGTCGGTGCTCTTAACCTCTGAGCCATCTCTCCAACCCCTCTTGAGATTCTTATATGTATATGAGAAAGAAAAAAATTTCCTTATTAATAAAGCCACTGTTATCTCTTTTCTCCCCCTAGCTCTAGTTAGCAGAATATTAATTTAGAAAACGATACTTGAGTATTACAGCTTATGAAATACAATCCATGTAATATTAAAATGAACAACTATAATTTATTCACACAAACAAAACAAATACAAGGAAAATATAGCCAAGTTAAGAGTATTAACCTAAGGTTCACAAATAGACTACAAGAGGTCTGAAAAACCTCTAGGATTTTTCTTGTCTAGTCTTATGATATTAAGGATCAAATGTAGGGCTTCACACATGCTAAGGAAGCATTCTATCACTGAGATACACTCCATCTCAAATATTTTTTTTTTAAAAAAAATAGCTAAATGTATATTTTTAGAATGAAAGTCTTTAAATTCTTTTTTTTGGGGGGGAGGGAGGGAATCAAGACAGTGTTTCTTTGTGGCTTTGGAGGCTGTCCTGAAACTAGCTCTTTGTAGACCAGGCTGGTCTCGAACTCACAGAGATACATCTGCCTCTCCCTCCCGAGTGCTGGCATTAAAGGAGTCTGCCACCACCGCCCGGCTGAAAGTTTTCAAATTCCTTTTTAATTTTTTTTTTTATTTTTCAAGACAGGGTTTCTCTGTGTAGCTTTGGAGCCTATCCTGGCACTCGCTCTGTAGACCAGGCTGGCCTCGAACTCACAGGGATCCTCCCGCCTGGGATTAAAGGTGTGCACCACCAAAGCCCGGCTAAGTCTTCAAATTCTTAATGAGATCCATGCTTATTTTCTTCCTGTTACATTCAGATAGGTTTCCTTATAAAGGAGCTTTTAAATGATTGGTTAATAGTCAAATTTTAACAATATAAATTACTTTTTTTCTTCTAAAATTTCATTCATCTTACCTCCTCGTGGTAATTCTGTGTGAAGATACGCCAATCCTCTAGTCACAGAATGAGCCAGACGGCAAGAGCTTACCCAATCACTTGTATGGAGACTCAAATATTTGCATAGAGATCCCTATATAAAGGAAAAAGTATACCAAAAAATAAAATTAATGTGCTTCAACAATAGGTAATTTAGGCAACCTTATGAAGGATTTAAATAGATTAGGATTTCATGATGATCCAATGATCCAATGATAATGATTAGTTATTTCTGAAAAGAAAAGGGGAGGGTGTGCTGGCTAGTTTTATGTAAACTTTGACACAAGCTATAGTCCTATGGGAAGAGGAAACCTTAACTGAGAAAATGTGCCCATATAATCAGGCTGCAGGCTAGCCTGTAGAGCATTAATAACACGTTTATAAACAAGCAACACTCCTAAAAATCTGATCAATAGTACAATAAATGATAATACCTTTTTATGAAGAACTTACATTGGGATAATACTCCATGACAAGCAAATACTCCATGCGACCATCTGCTGTGAGTCTCTCATCTCCAACTATAAATCGAGCAATGTTGTCATGTTCCATCAAAGGCACTCTATAAATGTTTTTTTCATTTATAAAATTCTGACGGTTTGCAAAAGAAAATACTTTTACAGCAACTGGACGCTCATCCAAGGAACCTTTATATACTGCTCCATATCGACCCCGTCCAATCAGCTGTAAATTTGTTTTTAAAAAGGCAAGGCATTAATTCATATTAAAACTGAACAATTAAATTTACTAAAAACAAACTATAATACCCCGCCCCACTATATGCAGCAGCTCTTTTCTGCTTTCAGTTTATTCCATTACCAAGAAGCAACTAACGTCTGTATATAGTATGACCGAGGAAGCTCCTACCTACCTGGCTAATGAGAGGTAAACACTCTGGACAGAATTTAAAAAAAACAAGAAAAACCTAAATACACTGAAAAATAAGCAAAAGCTATTAAGAGTCTAAAAAACATCAAGGCAAAGGAGAAAGGAATGTATATGGTGAGCTATCAGTTTCTAGGGGTAAAATCAACTTTGAGCAGTGGAACTAAAAATGGCACAAGAGGGTCTTTTGAACCAGAGGATATAATGTGTGGCAACTAGAGCTTCTACAGAGTGAGGGAAGAAGTCTCAAAAGGAGAAAGCCAGAACAAGGGAATTCAGTGAACACATGGGACCGATTTCAGCTAAATATAATAAATGAGCTGAGATTTGAGCTTCTGCCCAAGGGACATGTTTGTAATATGTGTCCAACCAAGTTAACTGCTAACAAAACAACAAAAATCAACACACAGAGCTGGAGAGAGAGCATGTGCTAAACTTTCAGAGGACCTTAGTTCGGGTCCCAGAGCCTGCCTCAGGTGGCTCACAGCTACTTATAATCCCAGTTCCAGGGGACCCAACACCCCTTTCTACCATCCACAGATGCTGCGCTCACATACACATGCCCACAGCCTACTGTGCAGCTCTGGCTGTCATCAAACACCCTATGTGGACCAGGCTAGCTTCAAACTCAGAGAGATCTGTCTGCCTCTGCCTCCTAAGCATTGGAATTAAAGATGTGTGCCACCATGCCCAGCCTTGTGTCATTATTTCTAGGTAAAATTCAATATACAAAATAAACACAGCCCTCTAAGAAAAGTGAGCAAAATATAGTTAAGCAAATGCCTTTAGTTCCAGTACTCAGAAGGAAGAGGCAGGCAGGCTTCAAACTCTATTGTGAGTTCAAGGCCAGCCTGGTTTATATTGCAAGTTCCAGGACAGCCAGAACTACAGAGAGACCTTGTCTCAAAAATAACATTTTACTTATATATAAGTAAAATAAAATCCTGGCCAAGTTGGTACTTCTCCCAGTGTTATAAACTACGCATCATTTAGACCTTAGACCTTCCCCTCTACTTTTTTTTTTTACCTTCGTTTTTTGCGACAGGGTTTCTTTGTGTGGTCCTAGCTGTCCCCAACTTGCTCTGTAGATCAGGCTGACCCAGCACTCATGGAAGCCAACCTGCCTCTGCCTCCTGAGCTGGGATTAAAGGTGTGCACCACCATGCCCAGCAAACTGTATGATTTCACAAGCAGTTTATATTTCTCTGCCTCCCTCCTACCCGTCTCCCCTCTCTACCCAGGGCTTTGAGCACACTCCAGAACCACAGTATGACTGAGCTACATACATACATCCTGGCCTCATTTTATCCTTTTCTTTTCGCTTTGAGACCAGGTCCTGCTCTCTAACCCAGGTGTGACTCAAACTTGAAATCCTTCCGGCTTATCCTTCCAAGTAGTGGGGTTGTAGTGATGTACCACAATACCCAATTCACATTTATCCCCACCACCCCCAGATAAGGTTTCTCTGGATAGCTTTGGCTGTCCTGAAACTTGCTCATTATACCAGGCTGGCCTTGAAATCACAGAGATCCACTTGTCTCTGCCTCCCAAGTGCTGTACTGGGATTAAAGGCATGTGCCACCACCATGGCCCAGCTCCTCCACTTTATTTTAAAATGGTCTCGATTTGTTGCCCTGGCTTGCTACATAAACCAGGTTGCCCTGGAACCTGAGGAATCCTCTTGCTTCTGCTTCCTGGCTGCAGAATTACAGATGTGCATCACCATGCCTCAAAAGACTTCTAACTAACTACCTCCTGTGATACTGCCAGAAGAAACAGTACAAATCAGGAAAGCAGGGAACAGCTGTGACAGACAACAATCTAAGCACAACCTTACCTCCAGCAGCTTCAGATTATCCAAGTCCAGAGAAGGCTCTGACGCCGCTGCTTCCATCATGTTCATACTGTGAAGGCCTTGTTTTCGGTCTCCTAGAAGAATAAGAAAAATTACTAAAATGTCACCTTTCTAATAATACAGTTAAGAAGAGCTGCAGCAGGGGTTAAAACAACTCACTAAAATGTGGAATAATAATGCATGACAGCAGAATTCTGTGAGATAATTCCATAATGACTACTGAGTCATCATGAGTTAAAAGTATAAAGTCCAGGGGCTGGAAAGATAGCTCAGCAGTTAAGAGCACTGGCTGCTCTTCCAGAGGTCCTGAGTTCAATTCCCAGCAACCACATGGTGGCTCATAACCATCTATAATGAGATCTGGTGCCCTCTTCTGGTGTGCAAGCAGAACACTGCACACATAATACATAAATAAATATTTTCTAAAAAAATAAGTAAGTGTAAAATCCTAATACCAATTTTTCAAGAAAATGTTGGTAGAATTATTCAAATGAATGAATAAGTGCTGATTTCTTTCTTTCTTTCTTTTTTTTTTTTTTTTTTGGTTTTTCGAGACAGGGTTTCTCTGTGTAGCTTTTCTGGAGCCTATCCTGCCACTTGCTCTGGAGACCAGGCGATTTCTTTTTTTTAAAAGATTTTATTTATTATGTATACAACATTCTGCTTCCATGTATATCTGCACATCAGAAGGGGGCACCAGATCGCATAACGGATGGTTGTGAGCCACCATGTGGTTACTGGGAATTGAACTCAGGACCTCTGGAAGAGCAGACAGCCCATCTCTCCAGCCCAAGTGCTGATTTCTTAAACAACCCATCACACCTAAAATTTATTAGAACTGACCAGATACCTGGTGAGAAATTACTGGCTTTTTCATTAAAGAAAAATAGCATATGATTACACAGGTTTAAGTCATTATATTACAGAAACAATGCTAAAGTACTTACAGATCTGTGGCATCTGTGTTTTGATGCAAAGAATTCAGTGGTATGAAAGGAGCAGTGAGTGGGGATTTAGAGCTAAACAATATTGCCTGTGAGTAATGACTGTTGTAGTTGGGTGACAGACATTTTGGGTAAGTTTAAAACTTCATCTGAAGAGATGGCTCAACTGTTAAGAGAGCTTGCTGCTCTTTCAAAGGAGCGGAGTTCAGTTCCCAGCACTTACATTAGGTGGCTCACAACCACCTGTAACTCTAGCTCTAAGAGATGCCATGCCATTGCTTGACCTCCTCAGGGAGCACACATGTCATGACATACAGAAACACACACAGACACATGAAAATAAAATTTAAAAAAACTTGTCAAAATCGGGGGCGCGCGCGGGGGTGGTGCTTGTTGAAGCTATGAATGGGAACTACTATAGCAGAGTTTTTGTTTGTATAAACATTTCCACAGAGATTTAAAAAACAAAAACAAAAACAGGGCTGGTAAGATGGTTCAGCTGGTAAAGGTTCTTGCAACCAAGCCTGATGACCTGAGTTTGGTCCCTAGAACCCACATGGTCAAAGGAGAGAACCAACTCCTGCAAGGTGTCCTTTGATCTCCATACACGAATGATGCCCATCAATACACAATAAATAAGGAAACAAATAAATGTAAAAGAAATTTTTAAAGAAAATAAATTCTGATTAAATGGCATGTTTACTAAATGAGACAAAAGAAGTATTTCTTTTTACCTGTCAACATTCTGTATCCAAAACATAAGGCGACTATCAAAACAGCTAATACAGAGACTGATGCCAAAGCAATGATTATTGTCTCATCTCGATTAAATGAATGAGGTGGACCTAAAAGAAAACAGAAAAGTATTTTACTTAAAACTGACAAAATAGCCTTTAGGAAGGCTATTTATATATTTAAATATTATTATTTATTTAATATATAATCAAATCAGTAATATTTTTGCATGAAAAGAAATTACAGAAAAAATAATCAATTTGTGACAGTTATAAATGACATGTTTTAATCACATAGATTATCTTATATAAACTTAAAATACTTGTCATGTATGGTCCTATTATTAAAATACGAACTAGGCACTGAAAGATGGCTCACTGATTAAGAGTAAACACACTTATGCTCTCTCAGCCTCCCAGAACCCACATCACGAAGTTCATAACCATCTATAACTCCAGCTCCGTACAATCTGACACCTTCTCTGGCTTCTGAGTATCTGCATTCATACACACATATCCTGCCCCCAACATTCATACTTAATAGAAAACATAAAATAGCAACTATATCACAGAACACAACAATATATTTAATCATACAGAACTTTGGATTATTATTATTTTAAGGAAGGGTATTTTGCCATGTAGCTGTGATGGTTTGAAAGAAAATGGCCCTCACAGACTCACATATTTGAATACTTGGTCACCAAGCAACTACTTGGGAAGGGTTAGGAGGGATGGCCTTGTTGGAGGATGTGTGTCACTGGGGAAGTTCTCTTAGAGGCTTTCTATCACAATAGAAAAATAATGAAGACCATAGCTGAGGCTGACCTTGAACTCATGGCAATCATGCTTCTGCCTCCTAAATGCTGGGACTAAGGTGTGTACCACTGAGCCCAGTTTCATATTTTGCTTTAAAATGTGGCTTTAAGTCATGTGTTCAGTAGGCTTCATCAGGTTGCTTGACGTTTGTGTGCATCGTTTCCTCATTTGTAAAAAGTTCCCTGTAACTCACATGTCAGTTATGAAGTCTGATGGGAGTCTAAGTGCTTAGTAAATTATAAAGTTCTATGCAACTAATGGTAATTAAGATCATTAGTATTGATATTATTAATATTAATGAAAAGGATATTCTTTGTGGGGAGCTGAATCTAAATTGAACCTGAAGTTCAGTCCCTCCACTTACTAACCTGACCTTGAGAAGAATTCTTTTGACACGAACCCATGTCCATCCATCTGTCTGTCCATCCGTCCATCCGTCCGTCCATCCATCCATCCACCTATCTATCTTTTGAGATTGGGTTTCTCTGTGTAACAGCCCTGGCTGCCCTGGAACTCTCTGTAGATCAGACTGCCCTTGTACTCTCCAATACCATAGAAAAAGAAAAAGCCAACCAACCCCTGCCCATGTCCAAACAACTAAGTGCCACCTCAACATACTACACTAAGGTTATTAGCATAGCTATAATTCTTTTTAAGATTAAACAGGAGGAAGAATATAAAAAGTATTGAGAGGGAATGGGGATGGAAATGGGGACCATGAGGAAAGTTATTTAAATTTTACAAAGTATAGAGAAATGAAAACTTACACTTTGCTGATGGGAATACTAAATGGCATAGATGTAGTAAACAATTTAGTAGGTTCTCTAAAGGTTATCAGAATTTTCATAACATTCAGTAGTTTATTCCTAGGCATATACATAAAAAACTAAAAAATAGGCATGCAAACAAAAACATCTACAGAAACATAAACCACATCACTAGGTAGGTACCATAATTACAAGCAGAAATGCAAATGTTCACACACTCATACTCAATAAACAAAATATGGAACACCTAAAAAATACGTATTAAAGGTCACATATTTTATGATTCCATTCATATGAAATATCCAGAATAGGCAAATCCACAGAGACAAAAAGCAGGTTAGAAGTTGCTAGGCATGGGAAAAGAGAGGGAGTTACTTCATACAAGATAGAGGATTCCCTTGTGGGGTGATGAAAATGTTTTGGAACTACATAGAAATAATGGCTGTACAATACTCTAAAAGTACTGAATAGTAAACGTTTAACCTAATTCTTCCCATTATAAAATTGTATCTATCCCAAAATAACTCACTTAAGAATTTGTTAAACTTGGGGCTAGAGAGATGGTTCAGAGGTTGAGCCAGAGGACCACCCAGAGGACCTGAGTTCAATTGCCAGCAACCACATGGTGACTTACAACCATCTATAATGAGATCTGGTGCAGGAATACACTCAGGTAGAACACTGTATACATAATAAATAAAATAAACCTTAAAAAAAAAAAGAATTTGTTAAACTCGGGCAGTGATGGTGAACACATCTAATTCCAGCACTCGTGAGGCAGAGGCAGGTGTATCTCTGTGAGTTCAAGGTCAGCCTGGTCAACAAAGCAAGTTCCAGGACAGTCATGACTACACAAAGAGAAATCATGTCTCTAAAAACAAAAACAAAAAAAGAATTTGTTAAACTCAAAAGGGAAATCTTATTTCAACCCACATACAATTAAATAAATTAATGTTTTTAACTACAAGATATAGGTAACTATTTTAAGTGCCTACAATTATCTATCTTCTTTTATTAAGACTATCAAACACTAGGATGGTAAGATGTCTCAGTGGGTAAAGGTTATTGCCATCAAACTCGATGACCTGAGTTTGATCCCGGGACCCATATGGTGGAAGGAGAGAACCAATTCCCAAAATATGTCCTCTGATCTCTATACATGTACCAAGGCACAGTCCCCATCCCACAGGTATGAACACTCACTCACACCCTAAAAAACAAAACTAATAAAGTACATTTCCCTGTTCATGGAGATATATTGCAGGAGGTTTGATGGATGCCTTTGATAGCACTGAACCCTAAAGAATTGCTTCTCTTAATTTGTGGGTTCCAGATTTGTATATACAACTAAATATGAACTAAAAATACTTAAAGAAATCCAGAAAATTTCAAAACACAAAACGTCAATTTGTCACACACTACCATGAATCCACATGAAGGAAGTGATGTTTAAGATGATCAACTGCGCTCCTGTCATTCCACAGACCTTCAGTCTCTCTCCATGTCTCATTTGTATAATACAATTAGACCTCTGATGGTTTGTTTGTATTGTATGTGTACAGGCTTTTTTTTTTTGTCTTTATTTTCTAAATAATATAGTAATGAGAACTATTTATATAGCATTTACATTGTATTAGTTATCATTATAAGTAAGCTAAAGATGATTTAAAAAAAAAAAAAAAAAAAAAAAACAAGAGACAGAGCTGGGCAGTGATAGCACACACCTTTAATCCCAGCACTGAGGAGACAGAGACAGGCAGATCTTTCTAAGTTCGAGGCCAGCCTGGTCTACTCTACAGAGCTAGTTCCAGGACAGTGAGGGCTACACAGAGAAACCCTGCCTCAAAAACAACAAAAATATGAGATCTGGTGCTCTCTTCTGATGTGCAGATATACATAGGAGCAGAATGTTATATACATAATAAATAAAAATCTTTAAAAAAAGTATCTGGGAAGGTATGCATGGGTTGTATGCAAATATTTTGCCATTTCATAGTTTATAGAGTCATGCTTCAGTGCATCTGCCAGGTGTGCTAAAGGATGTTTTTTTTTTTTTCTTTTATCTCTGATAAAGTTTACTTCATAAATTAGGCATAGCAAGAGGTGAACAATAGGGGCTGGAGAGATGGCTCAGAGGTTTAGAGCACTGGCTGCTCTTTCAGAGGTCCTGAGTTTGATTCCCAGTAACCACATGGTGGCTCAAAACTATGTATAATGAGATCTGGGGCTCTCTTCTGGGATACATGCAGGCAGAACACTGTGTACATAATAAAATTTTCTTTTTAAAAAGAGTTGAACAAAATAACTTACAAAGACAGAAAATAATAAAACTGTCATCATCACTCTGATCCTTTGGGACCATTACTAAATAAAATGATACACTGAACACAGGCACTGGTGACACATAACCACAGTCTGTCAACCAAAGCAGCTATTAAGCAACTAGAGGGCAAGGAATGTGTCTTAGTCGCTGTTCTGAAGAGACACCATGACCAAGGCAACTCTTACAAAAGAAAGCATTTAACTGGGGCTTGTTTACAGTTTTAGGTTAGTCCATGGTCATCATGGTGGGAAGCAGACAGGCACCGTGCTGGAGCAGTAGCTGAGAACTTTATATCCTGACTCACTGGTAGCAGGCAGAGAGAGAGAGAGAGAGAGAGAGAGAGAGAGACAGAGACAGAGAGACAGAGAGAGACAGACACAGACACAGACAGAGAGACAGACAGAGACAGAGAGAGACCACCCCTAGTTACACACCTCCTCCTACAAGGCCATACCCCCTAATCCTTTCTACTCACTAGGTACCAAACATTCAAATACATGAGCTTATGGAAGCCATTCTCATTCAAACCACATGACATATGAATATACTAGAAAAAGAATTATCTCACATCTCAATGGTGCAGAATGGTTAAATTTAATCACATTACTTTGTGTATAATTAAAAACTTATGAATTGTACATTTCTAGATTTTACTACTTTCCATTTTTTGAACTAAGGTTAATCATGAACAACTGACACCTCAAAAAGTGAAACCTTAGGTAAAACAGAACCACTATATTTTGTTTTGTAAAAACAAAATTTTGGCTGGGCAGTGGTAGTGCATACCTTTAATCCCAGCACGGTCTACAGAGCCAGTAGGGCTACACACAGCAAGTCTTCCTTGAAAACCAAAGCCAAAAAAATCTCAGCTGGGCATGATGATGCACACCAGTAATACTACCAGTTGGGAGGTGGAAGCAAAACAAAGAGTTCAAGACCATCCTCCTCAATATAGTAAATGAGAGGTCAGCCTGGGCTACAAAATGAGACATTTTTTTCAGAAAAACAAAACACAAATAAACAAAACCAAATTTTAAGAAAGATAATATCTAGGTTATTATCAAATTAGAAACAAGAGATGTATGATATTTTGTTTTAAATATTATTAAGAAGGGCTAGAAACATGGATGGTTAAAAGTCACTGCCAGCACCCACATGGCTCCCAGCTGGGCATAACTTCATTCTGGGGAATCCAATGCCCT